TTCATTCTATGTTTTCTGTTTCTTTGGTGGGTGTTCTAGGTTGTCTATTTTCTATGTTTGCCGGTGTGACTCCCAATCAGAGGCAACGAGTGTCAGCTGTCGGCTGGTTGTCTCTGATTGGGAGCCATATTTAATCTGTCTGTTTTTCTTTCGGGTTGTGGGATTTTGTTCGTGTGTGTTCGTGTTGTACCATAGACGTCACGCATTCGTTGTTTATTGTTTTGTTCGTGTGAGAATTTAATAAATAGAATAGGTTCACTCGCAACGCTGCGCCTTGGTCTCCCTCATTAGACGATCGTGACAGCTGTCATCAAGGCAAAGGGTGGCTACTTTGAAGAATCTAAAATCTAAAATATATTTTGATTTGTTTAACACTTTTATGTTTACTACATGATTCCATATGTGCTATTTCATAGTTTGATGTCTTCACTATTATTCTACAATGTAGAAAATAGTAGAAATAAAGAAAAACCCTTGAATGAGTAGGTGTGGCCAAACTTTTGACTGGTACTTTATGTCCTGCCTTGATATACATTTCCATCGGAATACATTTCCACTATTAAAAGTTTAAGAGGAGAAGAGATACACCAGTGGCTGCTTGGCTTGTCTTCCTGTGAGTGCCAGTGGCCATTAGTAACTCAGCGTAAGGCAGTTGTTGGCATGGCCGCAGCAGGCTGTGTGCTGGCTCAGTGAGGGGACAGTGTCCCTGATTTCATGGCAGAGTGGAGGAAGCGTGCTCCCCTATTTGACTGGGAAGAGGGAAGAGAGGCTGAGGCAGTAGGTCACAGCAGGCAGCCTATTAAACACCATCCAGTGGCACCACAGGAGCTCCCTTTATCCCCCAGGACCAATGGGGATTATTAACCTGTGATCTAAGGGATTGTTTATACACATAGCGGGGAAGTTACCGGAGGAATGTGCACAACAAGATCCTCCATAGTGCAATTCTTGTGTAGTGAGCTATTTTCAGATGGTGCAGATTACCTCTGGTCCAAATCAATCATGCCCACCAAGCGAAGAAGATGACATGAGTTATGTCAGTTATGTCTGTCTATGTGTGTAAGTACAAGTGTTTTTCTATCACTGAAGAGGAGTCTCTCTTCCTGTGCTGATGGGAAGTTGTTTCAAGCGCTTTCTACCAAAACATTTTCATTGGCCGCAGAGCTTGTGTTCACCACAAACAACCTCTCCCAGCCAGCCTCAGTGTTTCCTCAGCTGGTGGATAACCTCCACTGCCTCACGCATCTCTTCTCTGCCATCCATTTCCCGCTCTCCATCTCCTCCTTTCCCCCATTTCAACTCTTCAAAAGATGGCCAACATGTTAGCCTATACACTGGCTCGCTCTATTCCATGATCTCAGGCTGAAGGAAATTAAATGAATATGAAATAAAAGGCATTCCTACCTAATCAAGCACATCAAGCAAATTGTTATTTTAACTTTGATCCAGCAAGTGCTAGATTACATTAAGACATGCAAAGCTTAGGGTATAGTATCATCAACAGCAGCCACCAATTATATGTATGCATTTGTTACATATCAACAAATAGTGGAGTTAAGGACAAATTAGGCACCAGTAATTTCTTTATTGCATAAAATGTTTGTTTTTTTACAAATGTAATACCACTTTAATAGATATAGTATGTGGCATATTGTATATGATCAACCGACAGTCACCTAACTTGTACATAGTATGGGCTTAGAATGTTGGATTTGTCCTGTGGCGAATAGTTAAAGACAGGTCTGACCTTAGAGGGGTGAGATCATGTGTTCTTTACTGGTAACGATGGAGAGGCTCACATCTGTACAGCAGGTTTATCTACCACCCACCTCTGACAGCTTATCATATAGGCAGCTAGATGTTGATTTACTCGAAGGGAAAGGGAGCTGACTATTCAAAGGGATATCTGTACAGTAATCTCTCAGCCTTTATTCTACTTCAATAGTATCAGGTAACTGATCAACTCCTGGCTCCATGTTCCAAGGCTGACAAGAATGACAGCTTAATTATCCCAGTTTTTCACAAAATGCCTTGATCAACTGATCAAATGGATCAAAACTGATTGACTTTTGTTTGCATTGACAATAGAATACGCTATGATATATGAAAGTCTCTCATATGAATAAGATTGGGAGTATATCTAAGACCAACACTTTGACAGCATCCTCCAGATGTCCCAATTCACCTTGTGGTCCAATGCTGAAGATCCCCCTCAGCTTCAAAGTGGCCATACTAACACATAGCTCAATGATTCCTGCCTTTATTGTTTTTATGTCTCACTACTCGGTTATGAGTAGGAATCAGCTCCGTGGCGCCATGAGGAGGGAAGAGAGAGAACGGTGAGAGAAGGAATATGGGGACTGGCGGTACTTTGAAGTTCAGCGATATCTGAAAAGGGTAGAAATCACCTGCCATAAAGAGGTCCAGAGACATGAGTAAGTACTGAGCTATTTGTTCTGGTGCCTGTGTGGTTATGGGTCTCTGGGGAGGGCTCGCCCTGCCGCCCTGGCCTCTGTGAGATCACATCAGTGTGGATCAGGCAGGTAGGGGTCCAGCCGGAGGTGGAACTAATGACTCCATGTGTTCACAGACACTTCAGAGAGACAGATGCTGGGGGGGAGCAGAGACGCCCTGGAGTTTTCACACCACGTCCCCAGAGAGGAGAGGGGAGCGTGGTCATGCCTCTCACATGCACATACTGTAGTCACATACAAATCAGTGTATACACACACGCACCCATGGACACACAAACTCACACAGACTCTCACGCACACAACACACGTACACATTCAGAGACACCGATCCTTTGTTGCGTCTATGAGGAGAGTGTTTCCAATGTTTCCAGACTGTTTTTCATTGATGTGGCACGTGAGGTGAATTACTCAAATAAATAGGATTCTGGCCCACGTCTATCTATTCGATATAATCTGCCTGTCCCAATAAAAGTCACGTACAGGTTCCGGTGCTCCGGGTCTGCAGTCTTATTGATGCTGTCCTGACCTCAAGAATCTGACATCTTATTTAAAGTGGTTAATGGTTCCCATCCTTCAGTATGTTACAGCAGTCATACCAGTAATCCCCACATCGGAAGGATCGCTCCGAGGGAAGTCAATGTCTGGACACTTTGACCTAAGATTCTCTTGAGCAAAGTCCATTGAAAGTGGTCAATATTATCAAAATAATGCATTACCTCTCCTTGATATAGCAGTAAACTGGATCTACTCAATTTGGTCTTTGGCTGTTGGAAATATCGTAATACTTGGGCTAGGCGCTTGAGAGGTGTTGTGATGGCTTCGATATAATATGAAACATGCAGCTTTAATGAATGCCCAAACCAGATAGGAGGCCAATAATGGGTCTCACAGCACTGTGAAGTATTTATTGGGTGTGGCGTATTAATTCTGCTTTCATGCGGTTCTTTGTCCACACAATCCATTGCCTATTAATTTCAAACAAGGCCAGTTTTTCACATATTAGCCTTTAGTTGAATGTTGTTATTTGGGGCTTTGTGTCTAATAAACGGTGGCTTACGAGAAATACGTGTTAATAGAAACCTTGTAAACTCTAAACAGAAGTGTGAATAACACAGTCTTTAAGCACTGGGTTTGGTCACACTGTTACAGACACTGTGAAATATAAACAATGGAGGAAAACAAGGTTTTGTGACTGGAGGGCCAATGAAAGAGTCCGACCTCTTCCTTAGAGACAATTGCTTCATGATAGGCATTCTGCAGTAATGCAGTATGTGGTGATGTTGCGAGAATGCCTCTGTGAGTGACCACAGCACACAGAGTTGGAATGTGACTGTCACCAATCCCCATGTTACTCCAATCCAGACTGGAATGCTGGCAGAGGCCAGAGAACACAGATAGAGTGACACCACCCTTTCCTTTTCTCTGCATTACATCCTGGTTCTGTCAGGATCGAAGAGGAGAGGTATCACATACATCCTCAGTCAGCCCAAGAGGGTGATTCTCATTGGAGACCAGCCACCTCAGAGATGTAGGAAGGGGGTGAGCACCAATGAATTCTTTGAGTCATAAAGGATAGCTGGCTGCTGGACTTAAAGGGGAAAAGAGTGTAAGTGATCTAAGAGAAAAACTAGGCTTTAATGGGTATCACTTAGTTACAAATAATGAGGTGTGATGAGTCATCGTGCAGGAACAGCCCAGGAGACTGACCCTGAGACACAGCCTCTGCATGCAACACAGCGAAACACGCACACCTTCAATTGGCTGACTGTGTGAGCTTGTTGTGCACATTTTGCTGAGTCATCAATTGCCCTCGACTATAATACATTATGAAAATACAGTGAGGGAAAAAAGTATTTGATCCCCTGCTGATTTTGTACGTTTGCCCACTGACAAAGACATGATCAGTCTATAATTTTAATGGTAGGTTTATTTGAACAGTGAGAAACAGAATAACAACAACAAAAAATCCAGAAAAATGCATGTCAAAAATGTTATAAATTGATTTGCATTTTAATGAGGGAAATAAATATTTGACCCCTCTGCAAAACATGACTTAGTACTTGGTGGCAAAACCCTTGTTGGCAATCACAGAGGTCAGACGTTTCTTGTAGTTGGCCACCAGGTTTGCACACATCTCAGGAGGGATTTTGTCCCACTCCTCTTTGCAGATCTTCTCCAAGTCAATAAGGTTTCGAGGCTGACGTTTGGCAACTCGAACCTTCAGCTCCCTCCACAGATTTTCTATGGGATTAAGGTCTGGAGACTGGCTAGGCCACTCCAGGACCTTAATGTGCTTCTTCTTGAGCCACTCCTTTGTTGCCTTGGCCGTGTGTTTTGGGTCATTGTCATGCTGGAATACCCATCCACGACCCATTTTCAATGCCCTGGCTAAGGGAAGGAGGTTCTCACCCAAGATTTGACGGTACATGGCCCCGTCCATCGTCCCTTTGATGCGGTGAAGTTGTACTGTCCCCTTAGCAGAAAAACACCCCCAAAGCATAATGTTTCCACCTCCATGTTTGACGGATATTTTACCTTAACTTTGAAAAAAAATCATGGTTTATGTGTTGAAAACCCTTTTGCTTTCAGTGTTTTTATGAGAGACCTTATAATGCCTAATTCTGTGCATTTATTCTGTGACAAAACCACTCTTACATTTGTTTATTTCAATTAAACTTTTTTATTGCACAAATTAACAATAAACTTCAAACAAATCCACAGAACAGAATCAAAACCAGAACCAAACTCCAGCAAACAGCATTAGTCCTCAGGGCAGGTTGGCATTCAGGAAGATCAGATGCCTCAGCTTGGATGGGCTGATAGGCCTGATACGATTTCGCCTCTCCGTGAGTATCTGCCCTGTTTTGGAGAAGATTCTCTCAGAAGGAACTGATGTGGCAACAATACATAGTCTCCCCTCCATCACCTTCACCAGGAGTGGAAAGACTGAGGCCTTGGCCTGCCACCAGCTCAGTGGGTCTTCTGCTCTCTGGATGAGGGGCTCCTCAAGGTAGCTCCTCACCTCCATTATAGCATCAGCTGTCGGATTTCTCCTTGAAGCATCTCCTGTAGCTCTGTCATCAAAAAGCCTCCAAACAGCAGAGGTTTGCTGCTCCTCCTCCACTTGGCCCTGTAATGGTGGAGCTGGCTGGCTGCTGGGGGTGCATTTTGCTGCTGCTGCTGCACTAATCCTCTGAAGAGCTTCATCAACAGCTCTACGATCACTGAAGGCAAGTTTTTTAAACCTTGGATCCAATAAGGTAGTTTCTGAAAGGACAGTGTTGTACTCCATCCGCAGAAATTTGCGGTCCATGGCTGAACAAAGAGCTGCAACTAATTCCTTCACTTTCTGCACAGTTACTGTCCATTGGTTCTCGGCTGTCACCAGCTGCAGACCTTTGCAAAGCAGGAGCATTTTCGAGGCTGTGACATAGCTGAAGGAGAGAAAACAGCAACTTTTAGAATTTAGTTTTTTAAAAGTATGTGGCATATTATACGTGATGCATTATACTGTATGTGTTGTGTTTGCAATGTATAATAGTGACTGAATAGTAGTAGAGAAAACAATGCTTCAATGGTTCTAGGTACCTGTCTGCACTTATCTCCACAGTCACCTCCTGGAATGGTTGCAGGACGGCGCAGACCTCTTTCACCAGCTCCCATTCCTCTTGGCTTAATGGCTCAATAGATGCGTTGATGAGGGCCAGGGTGGAGATGATGGCATCTTTTATTTCAAGCATTCGTTTCAACATATCAAATGTTGAGTTCCACCTGGTGGCACACTCTTGTTTGGGCCTCAGTTCAGGAATCCCCATTTGGCGCTGTGTGGACTTTAGCTTCTGTGCTGCTACTGTGCTTTTGTGGAAAAACTCCACAACAGCCTTCACCTTATCCACGGTTGTTTTGATCACCTTCAGAGCATCTCTAACCACCAGGTTTAGTGTATGCGCCAGACATGGGTGATGGGTCCACTTCAAAACTTTTATGGCTTTGGTGATGTTTGCAGCATTATCACTCACACAGCACACCACTTTGTCCTCTACTTGCCACTCTTTTGCCACTCTTAGTAGCTCCACTGCCAAGTTTTCTGCAGTGTGTCTGTCGGTGAACTCGAAGCAGTCCAGAAGGCAAGATGTCATCTTGTAATCTTCAATAAAGTGGCAAGTGACAGACATGAAAGAGCAGGTTGTTCTGGAGGTCCAGCAGTCAGTTGTCAGGCAAACTGATGGAGCTTTTGTCACCCTTTCTTGCCATAATGCACGTTCTGTGTCATATAGTTTTGGGATCATTGTTTGGGAAAGTGTTTTTCTACTGGGTAGAGTGTATGTGGGATTTAGGGCTTTGACAAAGTTTTTCATTCCTTTGTCCTCCACAATGGAAAAGGGTTGAAAATCAGAAGCTACCATTTTAGCCAACTCATCATCAATACTGTGCTGTTTGGCTGGGGTCATCAGTTTAGGTAAAAACTGACTTATTTTGCTTTGAGTTGCAGTAGGAGAGGTTATACTTGCACGCATGGGGATGGCAGTAGACGTTACAGCAGCTGTTGTTCTGGTATGAGACACACCAGGATCAGTAGATGGTGAGCTGGCTTGCCCTCTCTCCTCTAACTGCACTGTAGGATGGACAGTTCTTGTATGTCTATGCAGGTTTGTGGTGGAACCTGCTCTTATAGTGACCTTCGTTTTGCAGTGAAGGCACTCTGCTTTCTTGTTCCCAATATCTTTAAACTGCAGCCAGATGCTGCTTCGCTTTCTAGTGTCACTCATAGTTAAACGACACGACAATGCAAGACGCACACACGCTCCTCAGTCCGCTCTGTCTCTCTCTTCACTTGCAGTGGAGTCAAGTGGTGTGTCTGCCCCGCCCCCTCTCTGTTTACACATCCTTAATTCTCACGTGAATGCCGCATGCTGGTCGCCATGCTGGCCAATCATAACAGACCTCTGTGAAAGTGAAACCTAAGCAGCGAATGGGCAAAAAACTGGGAGCCGGCTCTCACTCGATGCGAGCCGGCTCTTCTGATTCACTACAAAGAGCCGGCTCTCAGAGCGATGGTGTTCTTGGGGTCATAGGCAGCATTCCTCCTCCTCCAAACACGGCGAGTTGAGTTGATGGCAAAGAGCTTGATTTTGGTCTCATCTGCCCACAACACTTTCACCCAGTTCTCAAATCAAATCAAATCAAATCAAATCAAATTGTATTGGTCACATGCGCCGAATACAACAGGTGCAGACATTACAGTGAAATGCTTACTTACAGCCCTTAACCAACAGTGCATTTATTTTAAACAAAAAAGTAAGAATAAAACAACAACAAAAAAGTGTTGAGAAAAAAAGAGCAGAAGTAAAATAAAGTGACAGTAGGGAGGCTATATATACAGTAAAATAAAGTGACAGTAGGGAGGCTATATATACAGGGGGGTACTGTTGCAGAGTCAATGTGCGGGGGCACCGGCTAGTTGAGGTAGTTGAGGTAATATGTACATGTGGGTAGAGTTAAAGTGACTATGCATAAATACTTAACAGAGTAGCAGCAGCGTAAAAAGGATGGGGTGGGGGGGCAGTGCAAATAGTCCGGGTAGCCATGATTAGCTGTTCAGGAGTCTTATGGCTTGGGGGTAGAAGCTGTTGAGAAGTCTTTTGGACCTAGACTTGGCACTCCGGTACCGCTTGCCGTGCGGTAGCAGAGAGAACAGTCTATGACTAGGGTGGCTGGAGTCTTTGACAATTTTGAGGGCCTTCCTCTGACACCGCCTGGTATAGAGGTCCTGGATGGCAGGGAGCTTTGCCCCAGTGATGTACTGGGCCGTACGCACTACCCTCTGTAGTGCCTTGCGGTCAGAGGCCAAGCAGTTGCCATACCAGGCGGTGATGCAACCAGTCAGGATGCTCTCGATGGTGCAGCTGTAGAATTTTTTGAGGATCTGAGGACCCATGCCAAATCTTTTTAGTCTCCTGAGGGGGAATAGGCTTTGTCGTGCCCTCTTCACGACTGTCTTGGTGTGTTTGGACCATGATAGTTCGTTGGTGATGTGGACACCAAGGAACTTGAAGCTCTCAACCTGTTCCACTACAGCCCCGTCGATGAGAATGGGGGCGTGCTCAGTCCTCTTTTTTTTCCTGTAGTCCACAATCATCTCCTTTGTCTTGGTCACGTTGAGGGAGAGGTTGTTGTCCTGGCACCACACGGCCAGATCTCTGACCTCCTCCCTATAGGCTGTCTCATCGTTGTCGGTGATCAGGCCTACCACTGTTGTGTCGTCGGCAAACTTAATGATGGTGTTGGAGTCGTGCCTAGCCATGCAGTCATGGGTGAACAGAGAGTACAGGAGGGGACTGAGCACGCACCCCTGAGGGGCCCCCGTGTTGAGGATCAGTGTGGCAGATGTGTTGTTACCTACCCTTACCACCTGGGGTAGTGTTCTCCTCTGAATCATTCAGATGTTCATTGGCAAACTTCAGACGGGCCTGTATATGTGCTTTCTTGAGCAGGGGGACCTTGCGGGCGCTGCAGGATTTCAGTCCTTCACGGCGTAGTGTGTTACCAATTGTTTTCTTGGTGACTATGGTCCCAGCTGCCTTGAGATTATTGACAAGATCCTCCCGTGTAGTTCTGGGCTGATTCCTCACCGTTCTCATGATCATTGCAACTCCACGAGGTGAGATCTTGCATGGAGCCCCAGGCCGAGGGAGATTGACAGTTATTTTGTGTTTCTTCCATTTGCGAATAATCGCACCAACTGTTGTCACCTTCTCACCAAGCTGCTTGGCGATGGTCTTGTAGCCCATTCCAGCCTTGTGTAGGTCTACAATCTTGTCCCTGACATCCTTGGAGAGCTCTTTGGTCTTCGCCATGGTGGAGAGTTTGGAATCTGATTGATTGATTGCTTCTTTGGACAGGTGTCTTTTATACAGGTAACAAGCTGAGATTAGGAGCACTCCCTTTAAGAGTGTGCTCCTAATCTCAGCTCGTTACCTGTATAAAAGACACCTGGGAGCCAGAAATCTTTCTGATTGAGAGGGGATCAAATACTTATTTCCCTCATTAAAATGCAAATCATTTTATAACATTATTGAAATGCGTTTTTCTGGATTTTTTTGTTGTTATTCTGTCTCTCACAGTTCAAATAAATCTACCATTAAAATTATAGACTGATCATTTCTTTGTCAGTGGCCAAACGTACAAAATCAGCAGGGGATCAAATACTTTTTTATCTCACTGTATGTCTAAAGCATGTTAGAAAATGCTCCAAAACACTCCAAACCAACTCATATTACATCAGAATCCCATTCTGAATGATGTCTTTGCACTAAAGTTCCATATTTGCATATTTTTGTTGTTGTTGTAAACCGCATCATTCAAACTTGGATTTATGGCACAATGGAAAATGTTTTCAAAAAGTTAGTGCAGAAAAAGGTGCTATCTAGAACCTTAAAGGGTTCTTCAGCTGCAGGTTGAACCCTTTAGGGTTCGATGTAGAACCCTTTCTACAGAGGGTTCTACATGGAACCCAAAAGGGTTTTACCTCAAACCAAAAAGGGTTCTCCTATGGGGACAGCCAAAGAACCGTTTTGGAACCTTTTTTTATAAGAGTGTAATATGAGTTGGTGTGGAGTGTTTTAGAGTGTTTTCTAATATGTGTTAAACATATTTGCTTATTGCATTATAATCAATGGCAAGTGATGACTCAGCAAAATGTGACAACCAATTTTCTCTGTAATGAAACAAAATACTTAAAAACGTTTTGGGTGATTAACTACAAGCACAGAAATAATGAAAATAAGGCCACAGGTAAAAATGGGTGAACTTCCCCTTTAGACTTTGGTTGAGTTTCTGCATTTCAATCTCAATGATATGATCAAAAGTATTTTTCCATTTAGTGGGAGTTGTTTTACCAAACACAGGGTAATAAGTATGATGCAGTGACTCAGGTGGAGACGACTAGACACAGCTAATTAAGATGCTGAAAGATTCATGCCACCCTCTGTGTGATTAGCAGTACATTTGGGCTGAGATGCACTGCCACACACCATTAGTGGAGCCGTGCCATTAGAGGGATTCAGTTCATCAGCTTTTTGCTCAACCACATCAGCTTGCCTCTAAATTAAAATGTTCTGGATGTTGAGTGCTTGTAATTTTCTCAACAAAACAAATATGATACCTGTTGATTTACGTGCGGTGTACAGTAAACAGAAAATATACTTCATGGCTTTCTCCATCATTTTTCAGCCTGTAAGATGTAGCTCAGTTGGTAGAGCATGGCGTTTGCAACGCCAGGGTTGTGGGTTCGATTCCCACGGGGGGCCAGTATGAAAAATAAAAAATAAAATAATGTAGGCACTCACTAACTGTAAGTCGCTCTGGATAAGAGCGTCTGCAAAATGTAAATGTAAAATGTATGCTGGCCGGCATGCGTGTGTGTGTGTGTGTGGCAGGTGTCACACAGTGTCACCCCATACAGAACCATTGAACTGAAAGGGTTTCAGAGCTGTGCTATTTCACGTGGATGGACGGGCTGGTATCTTTGGGCCGACAAAGACGGCCATTTCCCAGGCATGTTTATCACACTCTGTCCACCATCACAATGGAAAGAAGGAGCTGTGTCCAGATAGGAACCATCAGTCTACATCCCTCTCTCTCAGTCAGGCATCTCAAACATGACATGTCCAGCACTGGGTGGGACCAGGAATCATTGTGTTGGTTTCCTGACCCTCCCATAGCATTGTAATGATAGGGATTGACCTGACCGATCACAGCTGGCATCACAGGCCTTACCATGCATGAGAATGGAGGAATGCTGGCGACATTTGGAGCAAGGCAATAAACATTTGAGCCATTTGTAAAGATTCCATAACAACACCTTTAACTATTGTATATTCACACTGCTTTAATATAAAATAAAAATACTCTTGGGGCTCTATTTTAACAAACCTAAGGCAATGGTAAATCTAAGCGCAGGCGTTAACGCTGTAGATTCAGGGGTGTGTCAGAAATATTTGTGCTATTTTCACTATCACAATTATCGGTGCACTTGCTGACATTGGCACAAAAGGGCTGGGTTTTGATGAATAAACACGTTGTGGGTATATTGAAGCTTGGCCCCTCACTGGCCAATCAGAACGTGCTCCATGGTCGAAATATGTGGTTGCTTCAAGTTGTGTATTTACAGTCTTTTATGTATTGCCTTGGAATCAACTCCAATTCCAATGTTAGTCTGTTATAGTTTGTTAAATGGCTTACAGAAACGAAATAACTAAATGTAGACCTATCTTTGCTAAATATGTTAACTTGCATTTCACATTGTTCTAAGTAATTGCATGGCTTCAATAGCATTCACACTGATATAGAGGCTAGGGTTACTGTACATTGCATTATGGCTGAGCATGGACATACCAAACATTGTCAATAAGCAAGATTAAATTAATTATTGATAAGGCCTGAAAAGAGAACAAATAATTCTAATAAAATTCTAAACAAAACGAAACAACAACTTGTTTTAAATAGGCTATGTCACACTTACAGGTACCATAGTTTCTCCCCTTGGCCATATGATGTTTAAACAATCCAGACTATGGATGGTTTTACACACATCCAAACTTTTCACAGTAGCTGGACAAAGATCCAATATAAATAGAAAGGGAGAATGTCCACACCGTTATACTGCTCCCAAATAGGCCTGTGTTTTATGAACATAATCGGAACCATTTTACAGATCAGATCACATTCACACATCTCCAGAAGTTGCATTGCAAGCGAGCCACGGACG